GGGCAATGTGTGTGTATGGGGCAGTATGGGGGGCAATGTGTGTGTATGGGGCAGTATGGGGGGCAATGTGTGTATGGGGCAGTATGGGGGGCAGTGTGTGTATGGGGCAGTATGGGGGGCAGTGTGTGTATGGGGCAGTATGGGGGCAGTGTGTGTGGGCCCCCCCCCCCAGCCTACCTGTCACTGGAGGCTGTTGCTGGGGGTCAGGCAGCCATTTTCTGAAGCAGCATGGGCTGCTGCTTTACGGCGGGGGCGGGGCTTATTGGCGGGAGGCGGAGCTTCGTTTGGGGGCGGGGCCTGTGCCGGGGAGCCAATCAGTGCTCCCTCCGGCCACAGACAGCCCCCAGCAGCTCAGCACTGCATTCCCTCCCCGGGCTGTAACAGGCTGTAACAGTCCGAGGGAAGCCCATGGCCAGCAAGTTGCTGGCATTTGGGGGGGCCCAAGGGGGGGCACAGCATGATGTAGGGGGGGCCATGGCCCCCTCTGGCCCCCCCCTAGCGACGCCACTGATAGCAGTATCTCTGAAACTGCTATGTTTATTTAAAAAATGGGTTATCCCTAGCTGGACCAGGCACCCAGACCACTTCATTAAGCTGAAGTGGTCTGGGTGCCTAGAGTGGCCCTTTAATGTTAGTATAAAAATAAAACCTATATGCACTGAAAAAACTTTATTAGAGCAAGCAAAAACCACATTGCATCCAAGAAAATTAACAAAAAATTTCCTAATAACAAACTTCTAGCTTGTACACCATTAGTGAGCGTGCTCACGCTTAATCAAGCATATACAATCGCCATTTTACCTGCTGGCAAGCAAGCGCCTATATCAATATACCCCACAAATGCCCCACGTGTAACGACACACTGCGCATAGCAGCCGCCGCGCGTAACAACATATCGCGCGTGCGTTCCATCGAGCGTACCGCGCATGCGCATCACGATCACTCTTCGCGCGTGCGCATAGCGGCATGAGGGACGCGCAGGAGCAATGCTTACCTCAAACAATACTATTGTTGGCGCCTTCTATGGTTATGAAACTTTTTTTTTCCTAAATTAGATACTCCCCTATATGGCATTGAGAAAAGAAGGGACACACATTATTACAACACAAGATTTTATAACAAAATGCGTGAGGAAACTCCCCATTGTCATCCCATTCAGTGTGTGATATGTATCTGTATCTCCCAACAGTCTACAGGCTTTCCTTGTTTAATTACTGACACCAAGGTTTACTCTTTTGTAATTCAAGTGATTTAGTCCAGTTTTATTCAAATTGATTTGGTATTGATTTGTTTTTGTTTTTTTGTTTATTTTTTAATATTTTGCATTACTGATTTTTCAAATGCTGTCATTTAGTCGGAAATATAACTTTAGGGGAAAAAAATAGAATGTTCGTTTAAGTTTGCACGATAAAATGTGCATTGTTGTGTTGATTTGTCCAAATTGGATTTTTCTTTTAAAGCTTTTTTTTTTTAAACATAGTTTTTTTATTTTTTTATTTATTAATATCTACATACATATCAAAGCATTTCAACGTTTTGTTGTTGTTGTTGTTGTTATACATTTTAAACCTTTATTTAAGATAGTATTATGGGTAGTGGTTAAAGTTTTTTCAGTTAGATCAAAGATCCATTGGGATTTAATGTCTGTCCCTTCTTTCTTTTTTGGTGTATACCTCCTCAAATTCCCCTTTTAAAACTCCTCCTTAGATTTCCAGGTAATCTGTGAGTGGAGGAAATGTCTTTGTGTTTCACCCTTGAATATTTGTTGCAAAAATCCTCATCCTAAGGTGAATGTGTTAAATCTTTTGGTGTATGATATTTTTGTTTATTAATTAGATTGTGATCTTTTCCTTTTGCTGTTTTATCTAGTGTATTATTGTAATGATTAACATGACTTTTCGAATCTGATGACCAGTTATATGTGAACTATTTTTGTTGTTCTCTTTGGTGAGCAATTGCTTCTATTTCTAGTGACCTTTTTTATGTAGATTTTCCTTTTGTATTTTGTTATCGATTCTTCTGTAATAATTGTGTCCTTTGTTTTCTTAATAAGGAGGGGTTCTTAATTTAGTAAGGAAACTGGTTCTTTCTAAGTCATTCTAAAGGTTTTATGCAGTTCTTGTACAGTATGTCTTAAAGCAGGTAATATATACAGAACTTATAAGAAATTTGAATATCCATAAAAAACTAAGAAACACATAGAATTGAACAATTAATTACTTGTTATCTAACTAAAATGAAAGTGTAGGTACACTGGAAACAGAGATGGGTGTGTTAGTTAATAAAGATCAGGAAGGGGGCGGGGCCTGACTGCCAAGATAGCCGGACACTCTCTCTGAAAGCTCCAGCACCAGTGGGTACAAAAACAATGTCAGCAGCACATGGTGCCCGGAAAACGATGCAGGACACTGCACGGAACATGCAGATACCTGTCTCGCACCAAATCAGATCAGAAGCGCTAGAACCGACCACGAGGTCTAAATTGGAGCAGAGCCCAAAGTCTGGGGGAGGCGGCCGATCGCCCGGCACGGGAACCGCTAGCAAGCTACCCCCCCTCTGGACCAGCAGGGGATATCCCGGTCCACACTGGGGGCGACCCCCCCAGTAAAGCAACGAGAACAAGCGACAAACACTACGGGGAGACGACATAGCCAGAGCACAAGCAAGATGGCGGCTCAAAGCATCCACATCAAGCCACCCAAACATACCTTGGACTTCTTTGACCAGCTCTGCGCAAGCATCTGGATGAAGCTCTGGGACAGGGGTCAGGCCTTCAGGCTGGCGATGAGAATGGCAGCGGCATGGATTCGCCCGGTAATGCGGCGACACCTATGCAGATTCCTGCCAAGAACTACTAGTGCGGCCTCCGGCGACACCTATGCAGATTCCTGCCAAGAACTACTAGTGCGGCCTCCTGACGGAGACGGCACCAACATAAAAGTGGGCGAGAAAAGGTGACATGCCCCATGAGCGACAGCACTCACCCCCAAGCACGCCAGAGTGGGACCAAACAATACACCCGATCGGTCTACCACACAAAGACCATGGGGACCTCAGACCACCCTGTCAACCACACCAACCCCCGAGCACCAGCCCACAACAGCGAGACTCACCGGAGTGGTGAACAACACACACGGGCCTCAGGAAGGAACCAGCGAGAAACAAAGTCCAGCCACTCGGGCGCAGGCACCGGACTCATGCTGCTCGAGCGCTAACACACACGCAAGAGCGGGACTACCAGCCCAGTCGAACACGCGTGCAACTCTCCGGACCAGTGTACCCGCGCCCAGCACGGATCATCCCCATGCTCTCCACTCGCGGATGCGAGCCACACGGGCGCACACATCACGGATTGCCACTGAGGCTGAGCCTCCGACCGGGGAAACCATCGGAGAGACACGCCACAAAGATAAGAGACATACCCCTGCCATGGTCATAAGCTGAAGGGCCCACTACCCTCCCAGTGGACTTGCCTCACTCGCATCCAGAGGGCCTATTTACACACACACCGAGGGCTGTACAGACTTTCACGAACCAACAACTGAATGAATCATTGCATGGACAATAGCAATTAAGCAACTAATACTAGCCATACACTTAACCCATATCAACCCTCTAACAGGCAAAAACCCACGATGGCTGTTACCAATAGCACTGAGAGGAATGGCGGTACCCCTGTTTTAATAACCACCCCTTGGCTATACGCTTGTTTAGCTACCGCTTTATGATAACTTGTCCTGAGGCACCTACTATAATGTGGCACAAATGTAGTAATTCAATAGTCCAGTATATATATATATATAGAGAGAGAGAGAGAGAGAGAGAGAGAGAGAGAGAGAGAGAGAGAGTCTACGTTTATCACGACTTACTCTACTCTCTTACATCGCTGACGCATACTACTGTTATTAATGCTAAACCAACTCATAGGCTCTTACCCACACTTATTTAACCTCACTCTAGCAATTGTTAACTCATGTTTTATTAACTCCTTAAAAATGTGCACGTATTATCTAAATGTCCTAAATGTGTTTTAATGCATGGTATGATCTCTAGCTCGTCAATTACTTTTATTTATTTACTCTTGATATGCACAGCAAAAATAAAAAATTACAAAATGTAAAAAAAGATCAGGAAAAGGCAGACATTTTAAATAATTATTTTTATCCAGTATATATTAATGAGGATCCTATGGCAAGAGATTTGCAAATGATTGCTGCAAAAAAACTTGCAGATAACTTGTGATTGGATGACTCAAGACAAGGTGTTACAGCAGTTAAAGAAAATGAATGTAAATAAAGCTCCGGGGCCTGTATTCATCCACGAGTACTTACAGAGCTAAGTAGGGAAATAAGTGAACCTCTGTATATAATCTTTCAAGATTCTTTTGTTTCAGGTATTGTACCGGAGGATTGGAGGAAGGCAGATGTCGTTCCTATATTTAAAAAGGGTTCAAAATCGTTGTCTGGAAATTATAGACCTGTGAGCTTAACTTCTGTGACTGGGAAAGTATTTGAAGGGCTATTACGGGATAATATTCAGATATTCATTGGGAAGAATGTTGTTATTAGCAATAATCAGCATGGTTTTATGAAACATAGGTCATGTCAAACTAACCTAATAGCATTCTACAAAGAAGTAAGAAAAACGTATAGATCAGGGTTTTGCAGTGGATGTGATCTGTTTGGATTTTGCCAAGGCATTTGAAACGGTTCCTCGCAATAGGTTTAATGCTCAAATTAAAAGAAATTGGTCTAGATGAATATTGGGTAGAACATTGGCTTAAGGATAGAGTAGAACGAGCTGTCATTAATGGTAAATTTTCAAGCTGAACAAAAGTGGTAAGTGGTCTCCCTCGGGGTTCTGTTTTGGGACCACTTCTATTCAACATATTTATAAATGATCTTCAAAAAGACATTGAAAGCCATGTTTCAGTGTTTGCAGATGACACAAAACTATGTAAAGTAATAAAATGTGAGCAAGATATTGCTTTGCTGCAGTGGGATTTAGATAGATTAGGGGACTGGGCGCTAAAATGGCAGATGAAATTTAATGTAGAGAAATGCAAAGTTATGCGCTTCGAGGTAAAGAATGCACAAGCAACTTACACCCTTAATGGTAGTGAATTAAGGATAACAACACGTGAGAAGATTTTGGGAATTGGTATAGACGACAAATTAGGCAGCAATATGCAATGCCAATCTGCAGTTGCTAAGGCCAATATTTTGTCATGTATAAATAGGGGCATAAATTCTTGGGATAAAATTCTGCCTCTTTATAAATTACTGGTAAGACCATATCTTGAATATGCTGTGCAATTTTGGGCACCTGTTCAAACGAAGGATATCATGGCACTAGAAAAGGTGCAGAGACAAGCTACAAATTTGAAGAAAGGAATGGAGCATTTTAGTTATGAAGTATGGTTAACAAATTTAAATCTCTTTAGTTTGGAAAAACGGTGCCTCCGAGAGGATATGATAACTTTATGCAAATATATTCGGGGCCAGTACAAAGCATTATCTGGAAATCTATTCATAAACAGAGCTATACATAGGACACGAGGTCACGCATTTAGGCTAGAGGAAAGGAGATTTAGTCTAAGGCAAAGAAAATATTTTTTTTACAGTAAGAACTATAAGGATGTGTGATTATCTGCCTGAAGATGTGGTATTTCAGACGCCATACAGATGTTTAAACAGAAATTGGATAAATACTTGCAAAAACATTACATACAGGGGTATAATTTCTAATTAGTGGGGTAATAGCTGCTTGATCCAAGGATATACCTGACTGCTATTTTGGGGTCAAGAAGGAATTTTTTCCTACTTTGTTGCAAAATTGGAAGCACTACAGACTGTTTTTTTGCCTTCTTTTGGATCAACAGCAAAAACATATGTAAGGAAGGCCGAATTTGATGGACGCAAGTCTCTTTTCAGCTATGTAACTATGTAATGTCCTTGTGGTTTGGGTTATGTGGGCAGCACCACACATCCTCTTAGTATACGCATACTAGATCATATAAGAAATATAAAAATTCATATGAATTACAAAAAAAAACATAACAGCAATCCAAAAGATCTCAAATGCTTAGCAATCCAGAAGGTCCCAAAAAATTGGAGGAGAGATCAAAAAATGTTCCGGCTATCCGAAATTACATGGATCTTTAATTTAAACATTGTGCAAATGTACAGTTTAGACAATGACTTTGAGTTGTGCCATTTTTTTAAAAACAACACTAAAGAAAATGTTTAATTTTATCTCTTTCTTTGAAAATTTGCATATATATGATTAATATGTAATAATGCATGGTTTCTAAATAATATTGGTGCTATATAGTTACATTCAAGGTTGCATGTATATATACACAGAAACTTTTTTCCTTTTTTTTTAAATAAACAAATGTAATCAATCTACTATAATTATTTATTATATGTATCTTTTTATTTTTATTTTACCTTTTTTTTCTAATAAATGTTTGTCATTATATTAATTTTGAGGGTATATTTATATTATTTGAGTACACTATTTCTCATACATGTTTATAAGTGCATACACATTTATTAATTTCACTAGATTTTTTTTAAGCCTAATTTTTGTACAGTATAATAAGCACTATCTTGCGTTGTACTATTTAAACACGTTTTTATGGTTACAAATGTGTTGCGTTTATGTTTTCATGTCCACTGCAATGCAATGTCATTGATAAATTTTGTGTCATTGATAAAGCCAGCGCAGGCAAATTGCGTTTGAGCAAAGTTGCTCTTTTCAAAAGATTTTAACACTATAACTGCCAGAGTGAACCTTAAGGATTTTTCACTGCAAACAGTGGCAGGAGCTGTGCAGAAGCTATTGAGGAGGTCTAATTAACTACTACCCAGGAGTCAGTGGACAGTTAAACAGGGAAGAGGAATTCTATTTGAATAATTTTTACCTATTTGAATTATTTTTAATTCTAGTTTCAGTAGGTTTTTGTCACATTTTTATGTTTGTTTTTATTCCTGCATATGCACCTATTTTTTAGTATCACTTCAGATTTTTTTATGATGCATTATCAATAAATTCTTTAATTAATTGTATATGTTGTACTGTCTGGTCACTTGTTCATTATCCCACAGAATTATAAGTATAGAGAAGGTCTATATTGCTGGGCATTGGTATGTATTAAGAGCTATTTCTTTTTATTATTATATTATATGGTTATTTAAGCTTAACCATACATAGTGTCCAATAAATTTAAGTGTATTAATACTGCACCATTGGTTTCCTATGTCTGCTTGTGTTTTATGAGATGCATCCACCTAAGTTGTAAGAAAAGCGGTAATGTCGCCCATAGGACACACGAGTATTACGGATTTGAGCCAGTCACTATTGGGCTCTAAATTATGTGAGTGTGCTCTTTCTGACAAATATTTTGTCACACTTTAAATCACAGTGTTATCCTATATATTTTTTTTTTTTCTGGTTGACATGCTCCAGTACATATAAAGGGTAAGTGATTACCGGTAAATATATATATATATATAGTAACCATTCAGCACTCCATTTATATACCAGTGTTGGGTTTTGATGAACAGGTCACATAGTATAAAATTATTTTCTTGTATATTTTTGGTGTGATTTATATTTTTGCTACATATATCTTTATATTGCCTGTTTATAAGCACATTTTTATCACAGATAGGTTTTATAACCTAATTTTTGTACACGTTCAAAGCTGAGTGCCTAGACCCCTTTGGATATTTTTGGAAACTGTTGAATACAAGTGATAGGGAGGTGATGAGGAGGGCCAGTCACCAGGCCAACATTGCAATCTTTTGATTTTTTAATTAGTGATGATCTTAATAGAGGAACAATAGTAACAAGGCCAATCAGGTTGACAGTCTTCATTAATTGCTGGAAGAATTTACTGTGAACACATCACCAATGGAGATACATTTTTTTGTATCAATTGAGTGATATAGAATGGACTTTTCATTGTCACACCCATATCTCTAGTAAACTCAATCTCACTGAGCAAATCATTTTTAAGTATCCATCTACATATATAATTTGTACCATGTGAGTAGGAGAATCTTCTCATAGATTAGAGAGATAGCACACTCTAGTATCCTCGGCCTAACACCCCTATCTGAAACAGCCACTGCTTCCACACATTAGACAGCATGCACTGATTAAGGCTGGAGGCTGAGAATGAGACTCAGTGTAAAACTTCTCCTCC